CTTCAAAAGACCAGGTGTTGTGTGATGCCGTTAGGTGGGTCTTTACGCTTGTCACCAAGCACGAAAAGGTAAGCCCATCATATACATTTAGTCATCTTCGATGTACTTACATTTTAATAACTCACTGTTTTTGTTTAACAACTCATTTACGTACATTTTATGCAGCCTGTCTTTTATACGGTGACACCCACCGAGGAAGAACTACAAAATCCTGACATAGTCGGCTTGTATCCTAGAAGAGAAGAGAAAAAGTTGTGGTGGCAAAAAGGACTGTGCCACTCACTGAGCCAACCTCTGAGCCAATCCCTAGGACAAAGACACATGCCGAACCCTTTAGGAGAAAGGCTAGTTCTTCTTCGAACAAGGCCAACAAAGAAATGAATTTCTTCTTAATAAAGCCCTTGGCATGTTGTACCATATCATTGATATGGTGGAAACAAACCCCACGGTTGAAGGCGAGTTCTATAGTTGCTTCCCTAAAGATGATGTTATCGCCGATGTGGGTGTTTAAGCATCCACACCTATTGTGATGGATGAGAAGGTAATGAATGTTTGTAATTTGTGATGATTGTTGGCCTAGAATGTTTGTAATTCCCATGAATTATTGTTCTCTGAGTCACCGATACAAAATGCAATTGGAAATATTGAGCCGTTTGCATCATGGCCACATGCTGCAAGCAATGTTCCACCAAACCTAGCCTTTAAGGCTGAAGCATCAACAACAATTACATGATAACAATGAGGCCAACCCTACTTCGATGCAGCCAAGCACATGGAGAAGTATTTTAATTGATCCTCTGTATCTATCTCAATGTGAATGTCTGATCCAGGATTTTTCTTCATCACCATTTCATCCCATGAAAGTAGGACTGCCAATAAACATGTTCCACGTTAAACTCATAGGCATAGTCAATTTACAGTGTATATTTCAGAAATTTAGTTACCTTGGTATGATTCTGCATCGTCACCACGAAGGCTGTGTAGGGCTGCTTCCTTTCCCCTCCAAGCTTTGAGATAATTGAATAACACTCTAAATTCACCCCGCATGTCCCTCATAACCTCATGAGGTCGATATGAAGTGCTTGTCAGATCCACGAATTTTGCTTTCACACATTCTCCGATCATCCAACTACTAGCTTGGCGATGATGACCTTGAACAATTTCAATAGAACAAGTGTGTATTTCATCATACTGTTTGACAACAAACAACTCACTATCCTTCATTCTAGTAGCGCAAACCTGCCATTAACATTTATCGTCAACACATACCACATGCAACAAAGTAGTGCTCGACCTCTTCACCTTAAATTGATAGTGTTTGTTCATGGCAACATGATGGAGATGGTATTGTAAAAACCTTTTATTGTTATAAATGTTCTTCACTCGCATAGATCTTGGTGTATAATCAGTAATGACTTCTTCGCCAGAAAAATCATCTGAAAATTGTACACGATCAGATAGGACTTTGGATCCAACGACAACAGATTGGGTTCCACCACTCCCTCCGTTACTTATTCCTTTATTTCTGTCACTATCTTCTAGATCAAAAGAATCAGGTTCTTCACAATGTTAGTTGTCATAATCGATTCTATCATATTCCACCGATAATGGTACTAGAGGAATGAGGAATTCATCTTCATTGCCCAATCCATATACCTTTTCAAAATCCATGCCGATATTGCTGACACCAATATTTTGCTCGTCTTCATCACTATGACATGAAACGGATGTTGGTTTCACCAGAATGTGGTTGCTTTCTCCTATCTCAGGTGGCAACGCTTTGGCCACTGACTCATCCACTATATCGACACATATTAGAAATTTATTGAGTGAGTGAACATCCCTCTTCTTCAATTGCAGGTAGAATGTGACATCATAGTTAGACGATATCTTCACAGGAGCTTCCCCATCTTCAACAATATAACTTAAGGATAAATTTTTTCCTTGTGGCCGAATCCCAAGCACATTTCTCACCAAATCTATAAGAACAATATAAGTTGTGTTGGTGGGGACCAATATCCCCTTCAGTTCACAACCAATGTATCTCGAAGCACGGTCCCAATGTCTATTATACTTGATGAAGACATTCAATCCAGCAACCATTTCTAAATAATTTCAAAAATAATAACTGTTAATCAACATGCAATTACTCATAGTCATCATCGAGTCATCAGAAATGGCCAGTCATAACAATGTGTAATGGCCGGTCATAAGGCAGTCATAACACTATAGGTCATTTCAGTCATAATATTATGACTGGACGGTTATATCACTATGACTGCCTTACGGCCGGTCATAATACTATGATCGGACTATGATTTGTCATTTTGACTCATACTGCTATAATTTGACTCGTAGACAATGACTCATACTGTTATGACTGACTGGTCATAGTATTATGACCGGACATATAACACTATGAGTCATAATACTATGATTCCCAATGTCAACTATGTCTTTGACGTGGTGGTCATTACAATAAGTTTACATACCCATTATAAACCATCCAAAATCTCAAATTGACGAAGGATAGTATCAATTCTTATCACATTAAGTTCAACCCAGTCATTTTTTTTTTGAGTTCTATGTACTAAGTCTCCCAAAAAATAAATTTAAAAAGAAAAAAACAAAAGAAAAACAAAAAATTGTGTACCAACCTCGATGTGGTGCACAACCGGAGTATTAGCGACGAGGAAATGAGGGCGTAGGGAAGAGAGAGACCGAGTAGAGAGAGAGGCCAAACTTGAGAGAGAGAGAGAGAGAGAGATCGTCGAAAATGAGGTGTAGAGAGAGAGAGAGAGAGAGAGAGAGAGAGAGAATGGGCAGGAGAAAGTTGAGAGTTTCTTTGAGGTGTTTTTTAATGATAATTTTGACCTAAGTAGCATAGAAATCATTTTATCTCACACTGCTGATATGGTAATGCTAGTTGTGAAAGTATACAAAAATGGTGTTAAAATTAATAATAATTTATTTAGGAGTGCTATTATTGAAATTACTCATTTCTTTTGTCTTTTAATTATTTTTTAATTGTTTTTCTTGATTTTTTGATTTTGATTCTTTTAGGATGTCCTATTAGTCGTGAACGTTTTTTACTGTCTAATTTGATAAAAATACATCATTAGCAAAAAAAAAAAAATGATGAAAATACATCAAAATATAGTCAGAATATACAATTTTTAATACAAATTTAATGATTAAAAAATATATTAATAACTTATTTTTTTAAAATCTTACTGTAAAAATGTCTCTTTTAATGACCGTACGTACAACATGAATTGTTTTTCACGGTTTATATGGACAGGATTTAGAGTGGTGGAATTTATAATTGTAAGTTTCTGAATTGCAGTTAACAACTTTTTGCAATAGGAAGATTCATGAAAGTTTTATTAAATATATGAAAGAATTTTTGGTAATTGCTTTATATAATTAAGGTATCATCACTCGGCATTAAAGTACATGTTAACAATTTTGATAGTTGCCACTACTCGCTATTACTTAGCGTTTTCTTTCATTTATCCTTTTTGTGGAGATATTGAGCGCGTTTAGAATTCATTTTAAAATGATTTTATTTTTTGTATGAAAATGAAAATATTTTCAATCTCAGACAAAAATTATTTTTGAAAATGCGTTTGGTAGTTTTATCAAGAGATTATTTTCAATATAAAAAAACCCATTAATATCTCTTTCTCTTTCTCTCTGCTCAAGAGAGGAGAAAAAAAAATAAAAAAAAAATGAAAAACGACTAAAAGTCATTTTTTATTTCTCTCTCATTTTACACTAAATTAAAAAATCGTTTTCATTTCTATTTTTTATCTTTATTACGTCAAACGACATTTTAGAAACGTTTTCATTTTTTCTTTCTCGAAAAATATAAAAAAAGGGATCAATTCCAAACACGGTCGTTGTATTTTTTTTTTTTCACATTTTAGAGAATGTATAATACACACTCGTACATTTTAAAGTAGTCAAGTCTTGAAGTTAGCTCAAATAGTTGGATACGTAAGTGCAAGTGTGTATCTATTAGAATTTGAATCATAATATATATATATATATATATATATTTTAAAATAAAAGCCATAAGTCCTACACTGTATAAAATTAAAAAAAAAATTTGCATATAAGGTAATTTGTCAAATCAAATTTAAACAGTATAATACCATTTTAGCTAGCAATCATTGACCAAAATAAGTTTTTTTAGTATTCATAGACTTAAAAATCTATATAGAAAATGCTCTCTCAATTGTAGTTGTTGCAATGGGAAGAATTAATGTCAACACACAAGCATATAAACTAATGGGAAACAGAGACACTAAAAGGAGGTGACGAAAATTAGAATATAGAGAGTTCTGCATTTGGATGTTAAAACAACCAAAGAAAATGAGAAAAACATGCATGATGTTAGGTTGCTGACTCCATCATCAATCTCTAGTTTCTAGTCGTGATCTAGTAGGGCTTCTTTTTTTTTTTTAAATTTTTTGCTCAGCATCTGGTAGGGTTTTCTTTTAGAAGATGTTTAGCTTTAGGTCTATCATTTAATAGAGCATGATTAGGCTTATCTATTTTAAAGTAATAAGAAATATAGAGAAATAGCCCTATTGTAGAAGTAGAAAAATATATGTCATTTCCTAAACATTATTGCATTAATCCTGTCTTCAGCTTCTCCCAAAGAATTATCCTCCAATTTGGGAAAACGACATATTGACAATGTCCCTGGACCCTGTTTAACAACCATTTGAACCTTCTCTTCATAATACAAATTGGGTAGATAGATATTTCCTTTTATTCTTTAATTGCTCATCACGTCAGTTTAATAATTAGGAGGTAACATACAAGTACTATAGCTAATTTAATTATAATAATAAATTCATAATGGGCCTGCGGATGCAACCAATAAAATTCTAACACCTAGAAAAAATATCTATTAACAATTAATACAAATTGAAGACTTCTTCATATTGGTGTTGGAAAAAAAAAAAAAAAAAAAAACAATGTTGGTTTTGTTAAACGTACAATACATGATCAACATATTATCCCATTGATCAGGCACCGGAGGCAAGCTTGGCGAGGACTCCAATGGCGAGGGAGTTAATGTAGGTGCATGGCTCGGTTTTGGAGGAATCCCAACGTTTGTCGTCGAAGTTGTCGTAACGGTCAGGTCCACCAACAATGGCACCGGTGAGCTCATGAAAGTTGGGACCGTTTTTGTTGAACCAGTTCACGAAGCTCATTGCGCAACTCACCACCGCGTTTTGCGACAATGCCGGCACCGACGAGCCTCTATGGTGCGCTTGCGTGGGCGGGTTCACTCCGAACCCGACCATGTACGATCTTCCTTCTGGATTATTTCCCAGGACATAGTCAATCTGCAAATATTTATTCCATTAAAATACAACACACATTAGGACAAAATCTGATTTAGTGTGCGTTTAGAAGGGAGATTCGTGTCATGGTTCGAATCATGGTTTGTGACTCGCTACAGTATTTTTTCTCACAAAAAATACACGTAAAACAAAAATAGTTCTGAATTTATAAACCAAACGTCTTGTTAGTGATCCATAGTTGAGAATGGACCGTTAGCTGAACATACTATCACAAATCTTTGACATTGGCGTGTGATTAATTAGACCATTTTTTTAGTGTAAATGTTAATATAAATGCTATAATATTCGACACTAAAAAATAAAAAGTGTGAGAATGTCATATTTAGTATGCTATTTTATAACATACTTTGGTACATAATGCTAAAGTACTACATCTACTTCTTGTTATAATTATATACGATTAAAAACTTGAAAAAGCAAACTGTTAATTTTAAAATACTTTAAAAATAACAATATTAATGATTAAATAAAAAAGTTACGACATCAACCAATAACAATCATAAAACAAAATTTGTCACATGTTATATTTGATGTTAAATTTGTCATACGTTTGAGACATTAAATTAGCATTGGATTATAAATGCTCTTAGCTAGCTGATAATGTACGTACCTGTTGCTTGGAGAAAGCCCAGAGGTGGGCTGAATCAAATTGCTGGTTTCCACAAGTGATCTTTTGGTTGAATCTGGCGAGGATGTCACTGTAGACGCTGAGCAGCAAAGCTGTGCCAGTGACATATTGGGTGTTGGCTCCGTCTCTCAAGTGAACCAAACCACCCGGAGATATGTAAATCTGGTGGAAAGGGCTTTCCGGGAGGACTGAACACACAAAGCTATTGGCTTGGTTCTTAAACGTCTCGAAGCTCTTCTCTCCTTCAAAATATAGCTGCAATATGTACATATATATATATATATATATAATATGATATAAAGAATTAGGCATTTTGTTATACGTGAGGTAGTGATTGGTGAAAGAAAAAAAATTTATGTTGATCACTAGTAGCGTGAAGACACCACTGATCCCGTACCTTAGTAAGAAGGATTTGGGCTCCGGCATATTTGAGGTCCCAGCTAAATTCGGCTACGTTAGCACTGATGGATTCTTCTTGTATGTATTTTAAGTACATGGGCTTCTTGGTGGCCATGTATAACCATGTTGCAGCCCATAGTAGCTCGTCCTGCATATTTTCCAACATTATTCAGAAATATCATATCATATCATATCATATATAGCAAGATTTTGTGCATCTAATATTGGCTCCACTTTCTAATGCGTTATAGTACTATAGTTTAATGAGCAGAATGGGAAATACATTATAGCCAGAGTAAGAGCAGTAGAAGGGGCATTCTCCGTCGTATGTTCCTTTATGAGATTTAGCAAACTCAAAAAGCTGCCAATAAAAAAAAAAAGAAAAAAAAGAAAACACATCACATATATAAATCATTATTTTGGTGCACTGAAACGAATTTTCTTAGGATATGATGAATGAAAGAATGAAGAGATATGTCATATGGAAATAAAACAAGCATATTATGAGAGAACACGAAATTTTTTTTTTCCTTTTTATGTACCAGTTTAGCTTTATTGAGGAGGCGACGAGCATAGGCATGATCGAAGCTTCTAAAGACAATGGAAGAAGCAGCCATGGCCGCAGAAGTTTCAGCTGCAATTTCGGTACCAGGCGTGTTCTCATCAATCTTCAACACAGTTCTCGGTGTCTGCATGTTTTCTGGTCGGATCCAACATTGATGATCAAGTACTGGGTCTCCCACCTTAATTAAGGGACACATACATATATATATATATATATATTAATTAGCTTAGTTTATACGAAAAAAACCACTAGGATTGTAATCATCTTGTTTGAAACGTATAAATTAATGTGTACACAAGAAGGAGCAAAGAAGCGAAAATTGGGTCATCCTTCAAATAAAATTGAGTTAGGTGTTTCTATTTTATTTATGGACTCCGGAATTCTAAAGTGACGAAAGGGATGGGCGTGATGACACCAATATTCTTTTTTTCTTGAGATAAAAAATAAGGAGCAGAGATGGGTTTTTTTTTTTTTTGTTTTTTTTTTGTTTTTGACGTTTACCTGAACATACAAACGGTTACGTCGAGAAGCGGCTTTGAGGAAGAAATCAGTACCCCAGCGAATGGCAGAATGGACATTTTCCAATTCCCCAGCTGCTTTAAGCTCGTTATTGTAAAACAGAGCTGCCCAAGAGAGAGTTGTCACCGTGAAAGCCATTGGAAGCCCATATTTCACATTGTCTCCAGCATCATAATATCCTCCAACAAGGTCCACCTACATTTAGAAATAAATGATCAAATTAAGAGAACGTGTTATTAATAGAAATACACTTTGTGCTTATGAGAAGGGGGAAAAAAAAAAACGAAGAAACAAAATTACATTTGCGAGTTTTCCATCATCGAGGCCGGAATCTCCTCTCCAGGGTACCCTATTTTTTGGAGGGAGTTTTCCTGATCTTTGTGCTTCTAGGAAAACAATGGACTTTGTTAGGGCGTCCTTGTAATTATAGTGACCATTTACACAAACTAAAACACCTTCAAACACAGCCAGCCATGCCAGGAAAATGGCTGAGGCTGCTTTTGTTGCGTGCGTGCCCATGAACTACAATACAGAAACTCGAATCACATGCAGAAACTAATCCAAAATAATCAAAATGTGGGGAATGCTGAGAGAAAATAATTAGTCTTGGAGGGGAGAGAATTATGGGATGCTAAATTCGGTAGAGGAACCAATGGTGTTAGCTTTTAGGCAAAGAAATTAAAGGAATCAATAATTGGTGGTTGAGTTTTGTGCTTGCTTAACAAAATTAGTTTGTTTTTAGGAAGGAAAAACAAAGCTATAACAGGTGGTGGTTTTGGCTTATCATGGCGGGAAAGCTGAGGAAGTTGGTCTGTTTAGAGAGAGAGAGAGAGAGGAGAGAGATGATATGTAATAGGTACGTGTGTGGTTGTGTTGCCTTATTTGGAGAGAGAAAGGTGGGGGTTTGAAGAGAGGGAAATGTGGGGTGAGAGAGGAAGTTTGACTAGGGGTTTACTAACCGTTTTTGGGTACATAATACGTACAGCTAATTCATATGTAACAATAACATTTACGGTGTATAGATGGTTTGTTGAGAAAGACTAAAACGGGAAATGAGCATAGTTTTTGTCACCTAATTGGTCTGCCTTCCACATTTTAGAAAAGATTCATGGTAACTTAAAAGTTCCACGTCATTAAATTCAAATTGAATCAACTTTCCAGAAATCCTAGTTTAACGTTGGTAAATCATTTGGGCTTGCTACCTTGTCATGGTTGTAAGATTATGGTTTTTTTTTTTAATAGTTATTGTAAGATTTTGGTTGGACAAAATGAAATGTAGACATCTTTCGTGGGCAAGCCTTGTTGATCCATGAACAAACATGAGGCCCGTCCAAAACGAAAATTAAACATCTTTTGTGAGTGGGGCCTCGTTGATCCATAAATAAACCGGAGAAAGAGAGAAATAAGTCAAGACTTGAGATGAATTAAAATTAATAGGTTAATAGTTTACATAAGTTAATAAATAGGTCAAATTACTGTTTTTGTCCATAACTTATCTGGTTATGAATCATAACTTGACAGGTTATTCATAGTTTTTGTCCATAACTTGTCTAGCTATAGACCATAACTTGACAAGTTTGTCCATAACTTATCTAGTTATGAATCATAACTTGACAAGTTATGGCCTATTAATTTCTATAACTAAAAATTGGCCTATATACTTTCTTAAGCTTTTCATATTGGTATATTTTCTACTATTTCTGTAAATAAACATACATGACGCTCGTTCAAAATTGTTTTCCTAGCTTGAGGTTGAAGAGAAGAGCAACAACCAACAACGCTGCTCAATAAAGGGTAATCTTTATAAATATCTCTTAAAAGTACATAGATCATAATTTTTATCATTTATTATTGATTCATAACCTTTTTAGCCAAATAATTACACTAACAAAATGGTATTTATCAAGAGTAAGAGATAAAGGTCCAGATTCATGCACTCTCAAGGGTAAATTCTTAATTTTTTTCCTCAATAGGTAATCTTATCAAATACCCCTTGAAAGTGCATGAGTCCATTTTTTCAATGCTTCTTCACGTCAGGATTTTTATCATTTACTCTTGATTCATAACCTTTTTAGCCAAATAATTACACTAACAAAATGGTATTTATCAAGAGTAAGGGGTAAAGGTCCAGACTCATGCATTCTCAAAGGTAAATTCTTAATTTTTTTCCTCAATAGGTAATCTTATCAAATACCCTTTGAAAGTGCATGAGTCCATTTTTTCAATGCTTCTTTGCGTATTATGGCCTCTATCTCTGAAAGTGAAACTGTCCAAGGTGTGGTTTGTTAAGAATAGTGTTCTTAAAGCATGAGATGTAATAATGATATTTATTAATTAATTAATAACATAGTTTATTCATTATTTATGTGCATGTATTATTGAATACTTTATGAATATGATTGAAAAGTTTCGCGATTATTTATGTGACTTTAAATTTTGTATATAAGTGCTATATACAAGAGGATAGTATTTAAGGATAATAATCGAAATAATGTTCGTAATGAATTTAATTAAAGTTACGAAATCTTTAATTAAAATATTACTAATACATGTCGTTCTCATTAAGAATGGAATGATGTTATCTGCACCATTAATATAGAGAGATATTGAATGAGTGTATTATGCATAATAAGATTATGCATAACTGGGACACATATACAATTTGATTTTATGATAATTTTCGTTAAGTATAGAAAATCAAATTTGAGTCTACTGATGGTCATGTATGGAACGATTTTAATCATGAGTTATTAGTAGACTCCTATTTATGGATTCATATTTTTTGACTTACTCAGTACGGATTTTGAGATTATAAATCCTATTCCTTGTATCTTAGAAACATGATGACATGGATAGCTGAGAATGCTAATATACAAGATGGAATCAATTCCTTCTTCTTTGAAGAAGTAGATAAATAATTCCCATGAAAATTAATAAGTAACGAGCTCGTATTCATGACTGTGTTTTATGAATATACCATTCATTAGAGAATTAATGGTACTCAAGGATAAAAATGTAATTAGAGAGGTTAACGAATTGTACCTAGATCTAATTTTAAATTATTTATGGAGGATTGATCTATATGTAGTGACTATATCAAATGGACACTTGAAGTTCTTATAAGTAAATTATGTCTATAATTTTGAGAGTGTAATTTCAAGTTTTTAGTGAAGTAACTTTTGAAATTAATAGAATTAATTAATTAATTAAAGAGTTTAATTAATTATTAATTTTATTGGAGCTCAGAATTATAAGTCCATGAGTACTCGCGTCATCCTTATAATATTTGTAAGACAAGGTGAATTATTGAAATTTAATATCACTCGAAATAAATAATATAATTATTTAATTAAATTAATTTTGGAACACATTATGGTGGGACCATAGAAGGCCACACGTTCAGGCATAGGGAGGTGTAGGGGGCGTGTGGTACAAGGTGAATCCCATTGAGATTAGTTGCTTGTTCTCCAAGGTATTCGGTTTACTTGTTTGACAAATTTTACAATCTAATTCAAAAGGAAAAGTAAAGTTTCACTTTATTTATATTTGATTTTGAGCTAAAATTGAAAACTGAATTAAGGAGGAATTTTTTTTCTCTCTTGCCTGTTATTTGCGCCAATCACAAAGAGGTCACCATGTGGTGTGGCTGGCCATATAGTAAAAAAGAATGGAGAATTTTGTTTCTAAAATTAAATGACAAATTGTATTTTAAATGAGATTTAAAATATTTCTATTGCCTTGTCTTCAAGTTAAAGCAAAGGGGTTCTCTTAGTGTTCTATAAATAGGAAACAATAGAAAATTAGAGAATACAATTTTTGCTCACCTTTACTGTAGGTGGGTGAAATTCCTAAGAGAGAATAAGAGAAGAAAAGTTCTTCCAACTCCCAGTTCCTTCACATACATGCGTTGATAGTTGAGAAATACAAATTAGTGAGTGATCACAATTCCATAGTTCCATAGTAGAGCCCACACTCTACGTTTTGCATATTTCAAGGACTAGACGGGGAAGATAAGATTTAGGTTTTTTGAGAAAGCTTAGAGCTTGGACTATTCGTCATCAAAGACCTCAAGTTATACGCCTAATTATTTGCTAGGTATCTATCATTATAAATGTAACGCCATCCAGAATTAAACATGTTTAATTATGTTAATTGTGTATATTAGTGTGCCTAAAATTGATTATTTCTAATTAATCTTGCTTTGGTCACTACGGTGGATAAGATTTATAATTACTTAAATTAAAACCCGGATGGGCCACTACGGTGGTGATAAGGCCTTGCTTTGGTCGTAAGTAATTTAAGTAAAAATTACTTGTTGGTTGCTTGAAATATGGAATTTCAGTTTATTTACCTTTCAGAAAAAGGTTGTTTAGTTCCGATTGATTATTTCGGGCATGGCTCTCTCATTTTATTCACTTATTTATTTATTCAGTTTTATAAATCTTATCCTACTAGGCCTTTCGCTTACTTTTATTATGTTTTTAATGTTTTAAACCCATCCTCTAGAGTTAGCGGTTTAGATTTACAGCATGACAAGTGGATACCAATGGATTGAAGGCGTGATATTCGAACCAGTACGTTTGTTTCGGATTTACAGTTTTAAATTCTGAGATGTACTGTATTTCTGTATGTAAATTGTATTGGTCGACATTGTCCCAGAGTTGTATTATTTTCCTTGGACTTTCTAGACTGTTTTGAATATTATTTGTGAAAGAAAGTCTCCGGAGCAAATTATATTGATATTTATGTATTTATTTTTGTGATTTTATTAAACAGTCCAGTTTAATTAAGTTAAATTTTAAATTAAACCCCAATAATCATGGCCCTATCCTTGGGGTCGTGACAATAAATTAATATGATTAATTTATTATTGCATACATTAATATATTTTATAGAGTATTCAAAAGTTTTATGAAAATTTTTATTATACAAGATCCACACATGCACGCTTCCGCATCTGAAAAAGTTTCGAAAACCAACATGGTTAAGATTCAAATGTATAAGTCAAACGATCTAGACGTTTGGTTCATGGATTAGAATCATGAGATTATAACCATTTTTTATTTACGTATATTTTTTGTGAGAGAAAACACTGTAGCGAATTACGAATCATAATTCGAATCGGGGTACGAATCCCCCAACCAAACAACTCTAAATGAAGCCTTTTTTTTTTTGGTACGGTCATTCCCTCAATTTTACATGTTTAGAAAATTAGTCTTTAAACTTTTAATCTTGGCAATTCACTCCTTAAACTTAAATTTATTACAATGTTGGTCACATTGAAAATAAAGTTAATTATTTAGACGGTTTCTTCCATGTGAACATTTGTGGGACGTTTGGTTCATGGATTCAGAACTATGATTCATGATTCTAATTTTTTGTGAGAGAAAAAAATTGTAGAAAACCAAGAACCATAATTCAAAATTAGGGACGAACCCTTGAAACAAACATCCAATTAATGACGATAATTCTAGTTTGTGTTGATTGATCCCATATACACATTATAAGTGAGAAAAATTTTGAAATTGGGGAACCCCAATTCTTCTAAAACAGTTAATCTCAATTTCAAAAAGTTTGTTGCTCATGAAGTTCATACGAAGATCAATTCGATACAAAAGGATTAAAATTAGCCTCATTAAATTTTCACGTAGAAAAAAGTTTTAATTTAATCAACATTGTAATGAATTTTAAAGTTTAGAGAGTGAATTGCTAAGATTAAAAGTTGAGAGATTAATTTGCTAAACTTGTAAAATTAAGGGGTATCCATATGAAAAAAGTCTTTAATGAATAATAAATACGTACGGAGAAAATTAGGTATACTACCATCGTTTTGTTACTTACACGATTTAGTTTTTCAAAAACATACGTGCACACATGGACTTATAGCTTTAATTATATCCATTAAGAAGGGAAATGCACATATTCCTTTCTTTACTCATGTACTTTAGGGTACTTGAAAAATAACGTCCGTCCTTCTCCAGACTTGGTTACCTAATTCCATCGATATGTCAATAGAAATTTCCCTATTTAAGAAGTACGGATATAAAAATAGGAGTATAGTTTCCTTATAGAACATCTATAAATTTCCATGATAATATTCATAAAAACTGTAGTATTAAATGACCCAATATCATAAAAACCTTGTGAATATCATAAAAGTGTTGTTAGTTTATAGTAGTTTTTTAGTTTACTTTTAAATGCAGTAAAAATTTAGTTTATTGGGATAAATTTCTGTATTTTACATCAATTTCCGTAAAAACGGTAGATTGGGACTCTCTTACATTTAGTCCAAGCTTATGCAAAAATTGCTATTCAAAAGAAAAAAGCAGAAGTTTCTCTTCGTAGTTTTGCCTGTGTTTTTTTTTTATTTTTTTATTTTTTTTTTGGGTGTCACTTAAAATATAAGTTTATGTCACTTATGATGATTTTCTTCTTCTTTAAATTGGCATTGAGTAAAGAATTACAATGATATATCTAATGCTAATTCAACTAGAAAGAATTGAGACTATCTTTATAACCTGTGGCCAAGCCCTTCACTAAATGCCCATTTCTGCTTCTGACTCATTGATATCTATTATATACTATTACCAGCCACTTTGGAAGTTCTTGCCGCACAATGAAGTAGCAGCAACCACTAGCCCATTTGAATAGTCAGGCAATGGAGACCAGACATGAACTTTCTCAGCACCTTCTAATTATATTAGCCACATTTCTTCCTATTTCTTCTTTTGTTTGCTCTGACACAGGTGTGTCTCCAATATACATGCTGAAAAAAGCCCCTGAAAGGAAAAATGGAAGTTCGAATCATGAACATTTAGCCGTCTCCTCCATGTTTCTTCACCAATTCAAGGCATTATCACGACATGTAGAGAAAATGAACTTGTGTCTAGAAACCAATGAGATAGAATTATAATCAATGAACAACAAAGGAGGGTTCACTTACTACATAAATCCTTGCTCCGTACTGCTCCAATCTGATTACCTTCAACTGCATATTAGCATCATATAAGTTTCTCGTTGTATCTATATATATAGACGAATTTTCAATAGTCACGTTTCCACCACTGGTAAGTGTGTGTGTGTGTGTGTGTGTATGTATATATATGCACGTATTATGCATGATAAAGCAACTTCATCGTGTAGTGATAAATTCTATGGTTGTTTTTTAGCTTTATGCCCAAAATGAAGCTTTCAAAGGGTTGAGCTTCATCTTGATCCTTGCACATCTATAGAATGTCAAACATAATGCACAAACACTACTTAAAGGAATAGGGTACTCACTTTCAGTAATCAATTGTCCGTCAGCTGTTCGTCGAAAATCAATTGTTGTGCCCTGCAATATCCCAACATGTTGATGTTAAAAAGAAGAGGAAGAGGAAGAAGAAGAAGAAGAAGAAAATCAATTGTTGTGCCCTGCAAAGGAAGAGGAAGAGGAAGATACAACAAATGAAAAGAGTTTTACCGCAGGCAAAGGAATATCTTGTGTAAAGCATGAACCAAATGTTCTTATGCAATGAAAATCAGTCTCAGGATTTGCCTAAAAGAAGTCAGCAAAGATTGACAGGTGTTAGCAGATATGAAGTCTATAATGGCAGACTAGGGATTGCAAAAGCGGGGATGACTTACCTTCAGTAATCGGGCTCGAAGGGATTTCTCAAAAGCACTGCACCAAATACACACAGAAACAAGAGAATGAGAAACTAAAACTGTAGCCTTGTAACATCGAATAATTATTGCTGATATAAGTAAAATATCCACACCTAGCACCGCAAAAGAGTTCATCTTGGTCACACGGAACCCTAAATATAATTATTGAACTTAAGGCACCTCTAAAGAGGGAGCAAACATGTTGATAACCAAAATGCTCTCACAATAATAAGGATCCAGCAAAGGTAAAGCTTAAACACTTTGGCAAAGCAAGCTATTTTATAAATAAGACCAACAATTGAAGTCAACAGGGATGTGCCAATCTCTTTTTCATAAAGGAGACCTCCGAATACTTGTTAATCTATAAGAGTACATCCAGTGAAGAAAAACTTACTCTTTGACAGTATTGATCTTCATTCCATTGCAACTAACCACAAGCCTAACAGTCATATTGATATCTTGCCTGAAAGATCCTCAAAAAACAACTTGCATAAGAAAAATAGCAAACATGGAAAAAAAAAATAGCTTTCATGCTAAATGATTGATTTGGTGTAAAAAAAATAAAATAAATAACAAGCAAAATAGAAGCAAAAGCATGAAAATGAGTAAAGAAACTTGTCCAGGATCATACCATCAGCAAAAAAACTCATACTGTACCAATCGACTAGAGAAATTATCATCTATCTTAATTAACAGGCCATAATAAATTTCTGCAGACTGCTCTTTCTAATTGAGGATGAAATTATCACAATAAATTACAATGAAATAGACGAAAACACAGTACCTGAGAAGATCCTCATAAAAATACTGGCGTTTGTTTAGTTCATCAAAAGAAAAGGAAGCATACTTTGGACCCAATTTCTCGCAAACAGAGGAAGGGTGAACATCTGTAAGAAAATATTGAGAGAAACTTAGTGGATGCGAAAGATATTTGAAAAAAAAAATTTCACAGAGAGAGAGAGAGAGACTTACAAAAACCAAAAGCATAGACCTTCAAAGACTTCAAATAAATTATTGTCATTGTCCTGGATCCAGTTCCAACTAGCAGCTGAAATCATATAGAAGATGTTTAAGCTGAGGACACACACACGTGGATGGTGAGCAGAGAGGAAAAGAGCAGAAAATTGCAGAATGTCCAGTCATAAATAAAATTGATAGTTCTATAATATTCACAAATTCATTGACTTGTCATTAGTTTTTGCACACAAGTATGATTTTCCTAATGCAAGAACAAGCAAACACATTAATTGTCAGCCAAAAAGAACGTTTCTTTGTAAATACTAACCTCTGAACATAAATTGGAGTTGTTCTCTCTAGCTAAGATGTTGTCCAAAATCATAGGGAACTCAATGCCAGTTCTTGGCTCAACTGCGTGTCTTTTCCAGTTCAATTCAGGAAAATATAGACCAGCATATCCTGGACGTGAAACCTCACAAGGCCTTTGAACCATTACATCAGTATTGTCCAACGAACCACCTAGTACCTTCGAAGATCTGGTGTCACCCAAAACAGAGAAGTTTGTCACAGAAAACCAACATTCAAACCAAAGCCTCTCCCCACCCTGCCTCAAAGGAAGAAAAGAAATCAACTTATATAAAAAGATTTACCGACTTACATGTTGTCTAAAGGTGGTATAAGAGCAGCTGCGAGTGAAAGAACGGAATATGATTGTAACCTCTCAGCTTCTCTGTGAAGGAGTTTCGAAAGAAAACTTGATATCTTACCAAATAGTACCGGCATACCGGATTCACCATTCGATCTAAAACCAAAGCAGAATTTCTTAAAGTGTTTCCTACTGGAAGTAATATGGTTAACTTGTGAAAAATATCGACATCTTTTGGGTTTTGAACCATGTGGGTTGCCCCCGATCTCCCTCGTCATATTTAAACTGGACCTACCGGAGAACACAAAAAGCAAAGCGCCGGCAAGCTTTGTAATGTGGTTAAATGGTCCTTCCATAGCTAAAGTCCCGGGAACAGACAAGTGTTTAAATTGTTGAAAAGAATCGTCCATAAGCAAAGCGATCTGCGAAATTACATGATCCCCAAAACTATGCAAAGCAAGAGGATCTACAGGAAAGGTATACGGCGACTCTCCATCAAGATCCATGAACCACAACCAATTATTCCTCATTTCTTGTCCAATTAAGTATCCCAAGGCAGGTCCCTTGAGATACGTGGCGATATTTGGTCCAAAGGCGATATAATGCACCTGCCCATTTTACAGAATACTAAAACATTAGTCGCTTACGAATGTCTGGAAAGACTTAAGACGGCAGCAGTACTAAACATGTTAAACACCAACGAAAGACAATAATGGACCTTTAAAAGATTGCTCTTCCGGTAAAATTCAATATTTAAGAATATTCAAATCAATCCTAGATTTAGCAGAACATGAAGCAGCAACAAGAACTGGATGTAATTCTCTTTCACATCAGATGATAAGGTGATGGATCAAAATAAGGACAATCCTCAAAATAATTCATATTTATTTCCTTCGAAAACAAATTATGGCCAAAGAACATCATTCAGATAATGAAAAAATAACAATAAAAAAATTCTTAATCCTAATGTAAAATAAAAAAAAAAATGCAAAGACAAACGAGAGGCAAATTGATCATGTCATTACCATTCGGAAATAAAAGAAGCATCAAAAGGCAAAAAGAAGAAGAAAAAGAGAAGCGCGTGCAAAATGTACGCAAGGAAATGACTCAAAAAGATGTTTTCTTTTGCCCACGCATTCTTTTCATCGTTCGCTTTCCCTCATTATTCTCGAGAACCAAACAGAAAACAAAAGGGCGCCAAAAAAAAATTAAGAAATGATAGGAGACAGCGAAAAGGAGAGAGACGAACCTGCAATTACAATAAGAAAAATTGAAGAGCGAGATCGAGGTCTTGCAAATCGATTATCAGGCCTTCCGCATTGGGAAATTAGGGCTTTTTCTCGATTCTATTTTGCAAATGTGGAGGAGAGGGGAGAGAGACGGAGAGAGGAGAGAGAGAGAGAGAGGAATATGCTTTGGGTACGAATAGGGAATAACAAACAGTTCGTTTCGATTTCCGAAGCTTCCTCTTGGGACAGAAATGGAAATCGAAAAAAAAAAATCAGACCTTTTTCCTTTTTTTTTTTTTTTTTGTGTGTTTTCGTTTTGCCAACGTAATTGCAAGTTTTTTCTTTTTCTTTGTTTTTTTTCACGTCTTTCTTTCCTTTTATTTGGTCAAGCAAATTTTGCGTTATTATTATTATTATTATTGTTTGCTTTTTTCATTTGGTCGGCGGACAGCAAATAGGCTCACCGAATATTAAAATGACGAACATATCCTTTCGAAGTGTCCAACTTCTCTTCAACCTCGATTCCATCTGTCTTTTCCCTCACGTGGACTAGTCGAATGTCAGTCGGAGTGTTTGACCGTGTGTTATTATTAAAGGAGAAAGATCAAAATAGATTAGATTTGAGATGAATTAAAATTAATAGGTTAATAATTTATATAAGTTAATAAATATATTAAATTATTATTTTTATTTGATTATGAACCATAACTTAATAAATTATTATCTATAATTCATAATTTTTGTCTATAATTTATTTAGTTATAAATCATAACTTAATAAGTTATAGCCTATTAATTTCTATAACTAAAAATTGGCTTATATACTTTCTTAAGCTTTTCATATTGACATATTTTCTACTATTTCTGTATTATTAATTTATTAAAAATATTCCGGTGTAAAATCAAAAATCAGAAAGTGTATAGAATAGTATTCTCATATTCATCCATTCAAAATATATTCTCATATACATACTAACTTATCAGACAGAGGAAATTGTAGTTACATTAGTGAAAATTCTTAACTATCATTTATGATGTGTGTTATTTTTGGTAAATATCCAATTTAATAGAAAAGAGTTTGCTAGTACCATTTTTTTTTTTTTTTGAAAAATGCTAGTTCCAATTGATCAATAATTAAACTTTTCTGTTAAAAGGATAACTGTTAAAAAAAACTGAAAAATCAAAACCAATTGTAGATAACTGATAAAATCAATTTTTTTACCTTAAATCGACACTTTCAATCGATTAACCGAACCACCCACACCACCTGTATGGACAGTTCGGTTTTGATTCTGGTGGCCGAGTTTGATGGTTAAACCGAATCGAACCGTCCACCACTTCTTATACTACATTATTATGAATTTTAAAAAATATATATATGGACTGCTGTGCCTTTTTCTTTTTCTTGGGTAAAATACTTTTCTATTATTAGATAGATGAATCAGTCAACAAAGACGTGTTTAAATATTAATATAAAACTTTACAGTTATATTATGGTCTCATTTATTTTATTAATTTGAGTTTTTAAAGGACGTTTTGAAAAGAAGATTCGCGCTATGATTCGAATCATGGTTCGTGTTTCACTACAATATTTTTTTTTATAAAAAATATACGTAAAACGAGAATAATTTTAAATCACGACTCTAATTTCATAAATAATTCTTAATTTTAATTTTATTGTAGTTAAAAATTTTTATAAAAAATTATATTTAAATTGGCGGACTTAACTAGACAGGTATATTAACTTCCACGGAATTGGGTACCGGTTTTTTTTGTTTTTTTTCCCGAAGAATTGGGTACCAGTTGATACTTGGTGGACACGTTGAAAACAATACTGTTGAATCTGTCATGTCGGTCCTTGATGTGACTTTGACCAACTTCGAGCTGGATTTGGACGGTCTCTAATTATCTGCACTAATCACGCCAAAATTCCCACCCCATCACAATTCTCAAATAAAAATATAGAATAAAATTCCCCACCATGACACGTTGCTGTCAAGAGTTGGACGGCTAAAAAGAACATGAAAAGAACCAAAAAATAAAATAAAAATGAAAAAACAAACCAAGCACACGCCAGATTTTTGTTGATTTAAGTCAACCACATCAGAATTTCATTATAAACGAGAAAAAGGGAGTTTTAGTCTCGTTCACTTCGCTGATTCGAGTTTAGAATTCGAGTTGAAATGTGACTTTATGTGAGAATTTTTTACTGTAACAAAAAAGTTAGATGTGATTATTTGTGAGAGATTTTTACTGTAAAAAAACTCAAATTCTAAACTCGAATCAGCGAAATGAACGGAGCCTTAATGAACCCTCAATAATTTTTACTTTCTGTCGTCAAGACCTTTTACTTTCAACGTCAAAATCTGTATTAAGAAAATTTATTCTACATTATTTAAATTTATTATAATTTAACCAGATCTTTTACTTTCAACGTCAAAATCTGTATTAAGAAAATTTATTCTACATTATTTAAATTTATTATAATTTAACCAGATTTAATGGTAAAAACTAACCAATTAATAAGAAAGTTTTACTAAAAAAAAATCCCTAAAAAAAAAAAAAAAAAGAAAAGAAGAAGAGAACATTATGCCTCTTTTTGATCCTCCGGAATTCTCTTGACTACCTAAACTTTAAATTAGAAATACCTAATATGAATGTTGCAAGTTTCCTCCGTAGTCTTAATTTTTAACTGTTAAATTTAATTAAAATTACATTAAATTAAAAAAATATACAAAACAGATAAATTTTAATATAAATCTAACGGCTGATAACAATTGAAAAATACAAGTCTAAAATCTTAAGAAAAAGATCGTTCTACATGCTAACTTTACGTTGAAACAAAAACTCAGGTAAAAAGCACTAAACTGTTGCCATTCGAAAGCTAGCATCAATTTCATGCCATTCGGAGAATTAGGTTCCAAATGTGGAATCAAGTTGAAATAAAAACGAATTCTCCAGAAAAGTTGAAGCAAAGTGATTTTTTTTTTTTTTGCATTATATTTTTTTAAAAGCCTCCGTATACTGAACAAACAAGATTTTTTTTAATTGAAATTAAATAAATGCTAAAAATCAAGGAATCAAAGTGCTAAAAATCTCATGAAGTAGTTCTTCCAAAGCACAAATTTCTTTTTCCTTTCCAATTTTCCCGAGAAAGTGATGCCCCCAACCCCGTCACAACAAGCCAGCCTCGAAGAGATTTCTCCGCCTCAAAGTCTCGTCGACAAGCTTGAAAGTCTTCTTCACGAGCTTCTGATCAAGCGCCGTAGTTCTGTAGATCTTGAAGACCCTGTCCACACGATCCGGAGCAGTGCTCTGAAAATACAACTCCTCGAATTTCTTCTTCACGAACCTGAGAACGAAATCCAAAGATTTTCAAGACTGATGGTACAAATTTGCTTTCTTTCATGATTAATCCAAACAAATGTTTAAATATCCTTACTCGTATGCGTGCTCAATCTCTTGTTTTCCTGTGGATACTGGCTGATAATCTTTCAACCATTCGCAAGCATTAAGAGGCACCTGCAAAACTAATGACATCAAAACCAAAAGAATTGCTTTTCCTTTTTAGCCAATATATGAAATGCGGTACATATCTTTTCTTACCTTTAGAACCTTCTTTTCGAATATATCAAACTTGTTTAGAAACAGCATGAAGGACGTTTTCTGCACTCCAAGAGAGGAAAAAAAAAGGACATGGCTCATGAGAGTTGTAACTTGTAAGAGAGTGACTAGAACAATTACTATTTTGCAACAAAGTCCTTGAAAGACAATTGTCTTACCTCAAAACAAGGTTGCTTTAGGACCCATTCGAAGAGTTCTTTGGTCTCCATCATTCGGTTCTTGTTGTCATCCTCAAAAAGTGTTTGATCGTACCTGAGTGAAAATGTGGGTCCAAAAGCTTCTTACATATGTCAAGTCTCAACAATATAAAGAGAAATGTCAAAGTAGTTGAAATGAATATTGATGGTCTTACTCGCTAATGGCAGCACAAAATATTACTGCAGTAACACCTTCAAAGAGATGGATCCACTTTCGTCTCTCATTTCTCTGGCCTCCAACATCGAAAAGCCTATATACTTCACCGCTTTTCTTATTTTCCCCTACCGGACTGCCAAACCATACCCATCAATTAATCAGGTCATTGTCAACCAAACATAGTAGAGCGAGAAGGATCGATATCGCACAAAGCAACATGGGAATATAATTGGAATAATCATGCAATTTCTTGCAAGCATTCTTCAGTTGAATTCTACATGTTCATACAGTTCAGCTGGCATGTGCTTTGTAAGTTCAACAAGGAACTATTGAAACAGCGTAGGTAAAAGATTATAATAAAATATAATATTGTTGCAGTTGAAATACTTTACCTGAATTGAATCTCTACGACACCAGTTGTGCGAACTCTTGCGTAGAGAACATCCTCCTGCAAGACAAAAATACACTCGCTAACTTTGTGCAAACCAGATAGAACCATGAGTTTCTAGCCTCTAAAAAAATTAGGGTAAAAGTTAACTTGAATGTAGTCTGTTATAAGATCCAGGCATTTGGCACATTTAAAATTCTGACAACATATTCTGATACCAGGTATGTTCAAATGTTTTAAACTCAAAATCAAACAATATTTGTGCAGCAGCAGTCTTTGCAGATTTTCCATAAACCCTACATACCTTTGTTGGAACATAATTTGAATCGGACAATCTTTGCAGATTTTCCATGAAATAGTTGGCACAGTCAGGAACTTGGAGTTCATTACCACGAGCATAAGTTTCCTACAATGGTAAAAGGTAAAATAAAGCACTGGGACACATGTACCAACAAAAGTACCAACTGACTAGATTTAAAAGTATATGGACGGTCTTAATCAATCTGAATGTCAATTAAATTGAGCACAGCTACCTGAATTGCTGGATCTTTCCATAGAGTCTCTATGTCCTGTGCAAGCTCTTTGGTAAGACGTGGATATTCCAACCTGCCTCCAATATCTGATAGTCTCTCTCCAATCTCCTGATAAATAATGCAAGTTATATTATATTAATGAGAAAAAACAAAACAGCAAATTCTCCACATTTGCAGAAACTAGAAGACGGCTCAACCAAGTTTTTTCTGCTAATTTAGCAACATTAAAATAAAACCTGAGAAGAGTCATGTTATAGACCGGGAAAAGAAAAAAGATGCCGAACCTTAGTTTCATTGGACAAAACATACTTCGAGGAATCTGTGTCACTTTGAGCCAGCTCCTTGGATCCATCGTGCAATAGCTGCTCAACCACATTAGAGACAATGATACAAGAACTGCAATCAGGTCATATTGTTGCGGAAACAAGGTTTACAACTCGTTTCAAGGAGACTGAATTGTTCGCTATAAACCCCTAAACTATGTGTCATCACATTATGCAGAAAGGGAAATAACCAACACACCCTTTCAAGTATTCCGTACTTTTATTGTCTGATATACATTGGCATGGATGACTGAGATGTAGCCCTTGAGCTCTGCCTCATCAAAGCCAGTTTGGAACAAAAGCTTTATCTGCATAGATTCAGAAGGAATGTAAAAACTAGCATTATATGAAAACATAACTTCTTAAAAAAAAAAAAAAAGAAAGACAATATGTTTCCAAAAGCAATAACCATAAGTCTTGCCTGCTTAAAAACTGTGGACTTGCCTGACTCGCCAGCACCTTAAAAGTAATCGATAACATTAGTCATAGATCAACTAAAAATAGTTAAAAGAATATTCATGATAAAAATGATTAATCTCACAAGAAAACAAATTAGTTCTGTAGATCATTGCTCTGATGTGGATGGAACCCACAGAATTTCCTCGAGATTTCCATCCACATAATTGCAATGTCCCTTTATCCTCTTCATTTTGGAGAAGGAATAAGACACCAATGCATACCATGATATTAAGAACAGGAGATAAAAGTTTAGTGACTGATCTCAACTAAATACTCTAAAATTGCAAGCCTAATCTTAAAAAATCTCAAACTACAAACATATTTTAAGCACGTGAACATCACAAGAAAATGAGAATCCCACAGAAGTAGATGTACCAAGCAACAGAAGTTTCTGAATATGCTTCTCCGCCTTTGTTTCTTGTTCAATTCTCCTTTCAATTTCTGCTGCCTAGAAATGAAAGCATTAATGGAGTTAGAGCATAAAACCCATCAAATAGAGAAAATAAAGAGAAACAGCCAGAAGAATAAATTACTTCCAGAACTACTCACTTGCGCATTCTCTTCGGCGTCCGCTTGACTGTAACGACGGTTCCTGCTGCATAGTAAGCCCATATTTTGTATTAAATAGACAGCATAGAAGATGCCCAAATCAAGCTCAACCAAGCCTAGAATAAGCCTTCAATTCACTTCCATAACGTCAAATTGACCTAATCACAAATCACTATAATAGACATGGTCAGAGAAGAAATATAGCATCAAATCTCATTCGAAAAGGACAAGTATCAAGATTCACAATATGAAGAAGCAAAAGATATGCAGTTTGGTATTTTTCGTCTAGGCTAGGATGTATCAAAAACATTGTTTTAAAGTAAACAAAGGACGGCATTTAATAAAACCAAATGGGAATACAAAACAAACTATTACTGGTCCATATGCACAACAATTAATACACGTTATATGTCTACTAAAAACCTGTACAATGGCCAACAAACAAACTTCAGCATTATGTCATTCCTCATAATTGAACAATTTCTCAAACAAACACACAATTTATCATCAGACAAATACTGAGCAACCACATGAATGTCTAGATAAGCATTCCCATAAACTAATAACCTTCTAAAAATAATCAATTTATAATTATTATCATAAATCGTAAAAATAACATCCACCCAGAAAAGTAACTCACAAGATAGACAGACCCAAATGCTAGAAAACCAAACCCACCAACTAAATTTCTCCAACATAAATTAACAAACAAAAAAGAAGAACATAAACCGCTTGATCTTGAAATACCACACAAAAAGTTGAAACCGAACAAGAAAACCAAGAAGATCTAGAGAAAGAAAGGACGATTGGGCGAGCAAAAAAACAGTGCAAAAGAGCAGCTTGAGTGGAGTTTTTACCCGACAAAAGAGGAAAGAGAAATGGGGCTGGATTTGGCGGAATGGTCAAGTATGTATGAAGAAGAGAGACAGCAATTGCCGGTTGGAACAAAAATCAATGTCGTTTCTGTATTACATATATATAGGACTGGGAGAAATAGCTGTATATAGATATAGATAATATAAATATAGGTGAAGAGTGAGAAATGGACATCGAAGTGTTGGCTAGAAATCTGGAAAGAGAGGAGAGAAAGAACGCCGAAAGCTGCACGGTTCCTCTCTCTTTCTCTCTCTTCAGTCAAAGTTCCAATAGACTGACCAAAAAATAATAATAAAAAATATCTCAAAAATAAAAATAAAGAATATTTTGTTTTGTTTATTGTTCTTAATAATTTGCAGATACATATAAGCTGAATTGTGTACGCAGTCTTCCTTGGGAAAATACAAGCTTTATGACTGTATACGGCTTAGACTGGTCTGTAGTTTCTTTTTTTTTTCCTGATGAATGGTTCTAAATATTTTTTTATTTGAGTGGACTGTAGTTGTACTCTTTGTGAAAGATTAGATTTTACAAGTCATATTATTATAATATTTTTTTTTATAAAAATTTAAATTTAAATTTTTTTTCACACACATAATTTAAATTATGTAAAAAAATAAGCTTTAAATTTTTCCCTCAGTTTCTACAGGCTTGTTTGGTAAGAAATTTTACAAGTTTGAACTCACGGATTCTGATGGGACATTACTCCAACTCAAAAATGAGAACCTACCTCCCCCTTGGTTTGTCTATTTAGGACCCGTTTAGTTCGCTGATTCGAGTTTTTAATTCGAGTTGAGATGTGATATTATGTGAGAGCTTTTGACTGTAACAAAAAAGTTAGATGTGACTGTTTCTGAGAGCTTTTTACTGTAACAAAACTCAAATTGGCGAAATAAACGGGGCCTTAAACTTTATGGTTAGACACATCCAAACAATGTTCAAACCCCACAGAAGTATCTCACACATGATTCAAACCCAAAAAATTCAAACCATCTAAGGCTAGTTTAGTAGTTCTGTAGATTTTAGAAAAGTTACTTTTAGCTGTGTTGAAAAAGAACCAACTGTTATAAAAAACAGCTGAGTGTTTGGTAAACTATAATTATAATAGCTGTACTGGTTTCAAAATCAGTATAATAACGTATGGTAAATTATGAGGTTAAATTGCTGTGATTAATTAAAAATTACGACTATATTATATTATACTATAATATAATATATATAATTACAATATAATAAATATTTATTATTATATTTAATATAATACATAAAAACTATTATTATATAATTATGATATATAATATAATAATATTATTAAAATAATAAATGAAATAATTAAAATAACAATTATATTATATTATACTATAATATAATATATATAATTACAATATAATATATATTTATTATTACACAAAAAATATTAATATTTCAGTTATAATATAATTAAAAATTATAACTATATTATATTATAATATAATATATTATATTATAATATAATATAATATATTATATAATCATTATTATATTATATTAAATAAATATATTATAATTAATATATTATATAACCGTGTGTAATACACTATAATATATAATAATAATAGAATTATAAAATTGTATTAATATTTAATTATATTAATTATTAAATTATTATTAATCAATACAATATAATATATAATATATTATAAAATAATAATTATAATATCATATTATAATTATAATATCATATTATTAAAATAATTATAATATTATTATAATATCATATTATATAAAAAAATAATAATATTAGAATTATTAATATAATTATGATATTATTTGTTACAACATAACTATTATATTATATTATATTATATTATGAGTCTAAATTTTAGTTTGAGAAGATTGTAAATTTTAAATTTTATTAGAGGTATTATTGGTATTATGAAAGTTTCATTAATTGTACTATGCTGATTTCCGCACAATCTAAAAGCTAAAGTTGTCTTTAGGCTACTTCTGATTTTGGTTGTAGATTCTTAAAAAATTCTTTAAAAAGCATTTTTGAGAAGATTTACCAAACACTAAAATAAGCTTCTGCTACAAACAGAAGCTGATTTTGGGAGGAAAAAGCAATACCAAACTAAGCCTAAGTCTAAAGCCCCTTACCAAATGAGCCTTACGTTTTTCTTTATAAGAATACCGAAAATGCTTTGGCACATCATTGATATAAAATAAATAATATCTATTAGTCTCATATTTTGAAACTTACTTTCGATTAAAAGATAGTCCTCAATTCTAACAGTATCTTATAGCATTGTTTGCGAATATTTTAAAGTTCCTAACTTAATGTTAATTTCTGAAAAAAATGTTACACTCAATTTTCTATCAGATTAAGTGTGACAAATTAATTTACAAGAAAATAATAAAAAAATAACATATAAAAAGAGGAAACAAAAGGCAATTGCAGATTTATAATACTAGTTGAGGTCACGTGCTACACAGATAGGAATAATTATGTAAGTTCGATCCATGCATTTACTTATATTTTTTAATAATAGATATCTTAGTTAGTTGTTAGTTAAGAATTAACTTTTTTAATATAAAAAGGTTAATAATAACTATTATTTGTACAACGAAAAATAATTAAATGGGGATTCTTTTAAAAAATAATATTTCAATGGGAACTTGAGGGTGAAAAACAATTTAACAAAAGTGCACCAAAAAATGACTAAATTATAAAGAATCTTTTTAAAAAATGAAAATAACAAAAACAAGCAAGACTATATATTGGGAAAAAAGATTACAAGATTAACTGAGGGTGAGAGAAAAAAATAAAAATAAGGGGCTAAAGAAGCACATAAAAAAGGAAAAGATGATCCAAAAAAACAAAACTAAGAGATCGGGGAGTTGCTGTGGTTGGGAACCAAAATATTTGTGACCAACAAGGTGTCCCGAAAGGGTTCGGGGAGAGTGAAAATGCCAGAGGAGATAACCCGAGGCCTCGACCGTCCAAGTCCCTCGTCAGCCGACAAAGGGCCACCAGACGACGAGCCCAGGGGAAAAGAGTAGTCGTGGGTCTGGAGAAACCTGAAGCGCCACCTCAAAATCCAGGTAAGAATCTCCCGGGAGATTCGGGGTCAGTGCAAGAAGGCGGAGACCTAAGGAATAAGCTGGATGCCAGAAAGGCAGGAGCCTCAAAAGGGACCAGCTCTGCGATCTCAACGGAGGAGGCAAAAGCCATTATGGAACGCGTAACGAGCTTAGAAGAAAAGTTCACAGGTGACATCGCAAGTTTAAAGAAGGACGTCAAAAGCCCGGTGAGCCACCTGTAAAAGAACGTAGGACAGGTGGCAGAGGTGGTTAACGTCGACATCACTCCCAGTCGAACTCATGACCACCCCTTCACCGCAGAAATCATGGCGCCGCTTCTCCCTGACAAATACAGGTCCCCGTCGATCCTACCATATGATGGCAGAGGGGACCCCGACGACCACCTGGAGATGTATATGGGACACATGCTTCTGCATGGGTATGCTGAGGAAATAATGTGCTGAGCATTCCGGAACCACTTAATGGACTCTGCCCGAAGATGGTTCCGGACACTCAAGCCAGATTCTATCTCCAGTTGGGAGGAATTGAAGGAAGCCTTCTCCCTCCAATTCATCGGGGTAAAAAGTATATCCCGCCGAAGCAAAAGCTGACGACGGTGTACCAAAAACTGAATGAGTCGTTGAAAGAATGGCTGGCAAGGTACGGAGAAGCCGTCGTCGCCACAACGGATGTGACCGACAGGGATGCCCTGATGGGGGCTTTGTCTAGCATGAAAAAGATCACACCGTTCAAGTGAGATTGATCTGAAAGCCACCGTCCACCTATAAAGAATTCCTAGCCCGGGCGTAGGGGTATATCAACGCTGAAGAAGCCGATGCCAATGACCCGAACACCGATCCAATAAGAACAAAGGGACGGAACAAGGTTCGACCCTAGGAAAACAAGAAAACCAAAAATGGTGAGGTGGAGACAAACATGTCGCATTAGTGTCAAATCTGCTAGAAACGAAGAAGCCCAGGCAAAAGGAAAATCGAAAGCCTCGGCCGTTCCAACAGTATGATTCCTACAATGAGCTGACCGTAGGATTTGAAGAAGTGTTCAATCAGGTCGGTCGAGGAAACCTGTTGCGCCGACCAGAACCTATGAAGTCGGACCTAAACTGAAGGAATCAAAGCAAATACTGCAGGTTCCACGGTGTGTCGGCCACAACACCAACGACTGTGCCGACCTGAAGGATGAGATCAAAAGGTTAATCCGCGGGGGAAGGTTGCAGGAATTTAAAGCCAATAGGAGAGGCCACGGTCACGGAAATAACGGTCAGCACGGTGTCATAAGGACCATCCAGGGCGGACCATATCCTGGGGGAGACTCGAAGAGATCGCAGAAGAGTTACACCCATGAGGCGAGACAGGTGTACTAGGAGAGGTTTTGGAACCTCTCAACTGCCAAACCAGCTAAGACGACAAAATTTGGCAGTACTGAAGTGGCATTCACCGAGGAAGATGCAAATGGTGTCTATTTCCCACATAACGATGCCTTGGTGGTAGAGGCAGTGATCGAAAATCATACCGTATGCAGAATCCTTGTAGACAATGAAAGCTCGGTGGACATCTTGTACTCCAATTGCTTACAAAAAATAGAGATCCCAAAGGAGCAACTAGAAAAAACGTCCCGGCCATTATACGGGTTCACAGGGGACTCAATCATCCCCCAAGGGACGATCCGGTTGCCTATAACCACAGGAGAGAAGCCTAGGCAAACAAGTATAATGACAAATTTTGTAGTAATTAAAAGGGGCTCACAGTACAATGCCGTAATCGGGAGGCCGACCCTTCAGGCACTGAGAGCAATAACATCCATCTACCATTAAAAGGTCAAGTTTCTGACCCCTAATGGCGTAGGAGAAATAAATAGCAACCAATACGAGTCCAGGGTGGCATATAACGACGCCATATGCGGGTACGATCAACCAGGAAAACATGAAACTAGGATGGTACAACAAGGACCGGTTGAGGACATGGATCCTAGAGTCAAAGAAGAAATTACATGGTCCTAACCGATCGACCAGTTGGTGAAAGTCCAAGTGGATCATAGGGAGCCAGCGAGAGTACTGAAGGTAGGCTCGAATTTACCCTCGGCGCTCAGAATCGAGGTCGAAGATTTCCTGAAGAAAAATCTGGATGTGTTCGCCTGGACACACGCAGACATGGAAGGTATCGACCCCCAAGTCATGTGTCACGCTCTGAAC